GTAAGACAAAAACACATTACATACAAAGGATGACACAACCTGCTGATCTACTATAATGCTAGGGCGTGAATGACTCACGGACCGCATTGAAATTTACTGAAAAGCATCACAAACTTACCCTATACTGTGTTGCACGGACAAAATGTGAACCGGTTAGCGACCCGTCAATAAATGAGCCCAACTACTTACTTTAGTAGATTGCTCAAGATTTCATCGACTCCTATCAAACGATAAATTGCTCACATTTATTAAAAAAATAGCTTATCAATATTGAAACATATTTGAAATTCGATCCTTCAAAATTTGGTGAATCAGCTGGTACAATGATAAGCGCTTCATATTGAATAGTTTGATTATGATTTTATTAGAAACAATATTGTTTAGTTATATATTATTTGTAAACTGTTATTTTTTCAGTTCATAGGTGATTGACAGTCGCTACAACGATCCCCAACAACAACAATACTAATGAAAATAATGGTAACATTATGATGATCTTGAGTGACCTCTCCATCTGGTATGCTTCACATTAATGTTGCAATTGCTGTAGAATTCAGATTCACATCTTAAATAAACATTGACTTTGGGTGATGGCTATGACTATCAACCGGTTTGAGTCACTGTCAGCGGTGTGCCTGGACCTTAAAGTCTGAGGTTCAAAATGTTTAACCGCCACTACCCAAATTTGTTAGGCACACTGCTATCGCCCGACTCAACAGTACGTAATTCTGTTGAGGGACGGAGCAATTTGCCACTCCAAGTCTCAGGACTTAAGTTAAGTGCTATGGGTAGTAGTTACTTGTCACCATAACGTTTACCTCAACGATTTTGACATCGTTTTCCCAATATTTTATTTCAGGGAAATGGAGAGTTATAAACCTAAAATACATGATCTACAGGCATGGACGGAGCGCGATATAACGCAGTCTTACCGATCTAATACTGGTGCTGTCTTTGACAATACTCCACCTAGAAAATACTAGTGACATCATCTCCAGATTGGCAAACCAATAAATTATAGTTAGGCAGACCATCGAATAATTTACAAATAACGATGATTTTGCTTCCGTCAATTTGTTGTAATACAATTTTTCAGAGGGAAGCCAAACAGAACATGTTCTTTTTATGAGCACCTTAAAAAGCATGCAATTTTTATCGACCGTGAAATCAACTGCTTATAAAACATTTTCTCACAAACGACTCCAGTAAAAATATCCAATAATTCAATTCACTCACTTTGAGCTTTAATGACCATCAGAATTGGTAGGAACAGAAATGTAATTCGTGCTTTCAACAACAATGGCGTAAACAAATGGAAAAGTGGGAGCAGTATGGATCGATGAGTGAAGTCTTTCGAACAAGTTACACGATCGGTACCTGTTGCTATGATTGACATTGGAGAGAATATATTGTTTTGCTTGCACCTATTCTTACTGGATACGTTAGTCATAGTAATGTCAGAACGTGTAATACAAACTCCTTTAATGATTTATTATGGTTGATTGCTCGACTCATTTACAATTTGATCTACGGTGACCTCTTGTCTATTTACTGGATCAAAATCCAGGGGAGTGCGCTCACGTTGAGCATGACGTTAACAAGTCTCACCCTAGAAAACGATTATTTGCGACAGCATTCAGCAATTGATATGATGAACTAATGACCTGACACACACGCACCGTCTCACTTTTCTATCGGTTATGAATCAAGCAACGGTGCCGGGGCATATGCGGTTAGCAAGACACTACACAACGGTGTGATTCGACGCATTGATTAGCAGGGAGAGTGGACCGGCCATAGTAAGTACCCTTGCCAAACCAGCTTTGAGCGTTTTTCGTTTTAGCATGGGTATCAGACATCGTGAAGCGACTGGTTCTTTTCAAAATTATCCTGATTTCGGACTGCAAAAAGAATACAGTAGTATTTAACCCATCCTCGCTCTGCTATGTGTAAAAACCAGTGTATGTTTTGTGCTGAAAATTGTGTTTTGGCTTTGAATGTCATCGTTGTTTTTCTAAATTTGTGTTGCAGTTTTTTAATTTGCCTAACAAGACAAGGTGTTTTGCGCAATATTCTAGTTTTTGCGGAACTCTGTCTGTTAGCAACCGAAATTGGTGCGCCGGAATGTAAAGTAACTTTGGATGCGAAAATACTAAAACAATTCCCGAAAACCAAGACCAATGTTGTTATGAACCGACTGTTGCACTCAAAAGTTTGGTAGATTCAGAGTTAGATATAGGAATCGATGGAAGATCGAAGTGAAAATTTTTATTTCAAGACTGGGTTCCTCCAACACCCAATCTCATCATGACTGGGGAAGTAGTAAAGGAAGTAGACAAATTTTGCTATCTGGGCAGCTATACTTCACCTGGCGGACGCATCACAAATGAAGTGTTGGCGCGCACACAGAAACCTCGGTTGGCATTTGCCAATTTGAGACATCCGTGGCGCAGTCGCGGCACCCGGCAGTTTGTGAAGAGTTGAGTATATGCTGTAGCAGTTCGACCAGTACTGCTCTACGGTGCACAGATTTGGCCACTACGGGAAAAAGATAAAAGTTGATTGTCGATGTTCGAACACCGCTCTTTACGTTGCATTGCACGCGTCTGGTGGGGTAATCGGACAGGCAATGCTGAGGTTAGGCGTAGAGTTTCAGGCAGTCGCGGTTGTCCACTGGAGCAAGCGATGGACCTCCACAGATTTCGTTGGAGGGGCATGTGTTACGCAGTCACCAGATAGGTTACCACGGCGAACGATGTTCGCTGAGGCAGGTAGCCGTTGGAAAAAGATCAAGGGCGGTCAAACTAGAACCTGGTATGAGGGTGTGAAAGTCCTAACCAGGAGACTAGGTCACACAGGCCCCGCTAAGCTCCCTGGCTGGGGACCTCGGGATGATGGTCACCGAGGCTTAGAGACACTGAGTGATATGGCTGTATCACAAACGGTGGCGCTCGTGCATCCACTATTCTCCAAACACTAACCTGTATGAATTCGTCATTTTCTGCTTGAATTTGCTTTCAGCATACCAATCTTCATTCTGCTCTTTTATCCAAATGAGACACCAAAAGATAGCAACTAAAACCGGCGCACGAAAATGCATGGTTACTGGTTGTAAGAACTGAACTGAACTAATCGATGTAAAATTATGTTTGCTAGTATTTCCCTGACGGATGGAATGAAATAAATTACAATTATTCTTATTTCATTCAGTCAAATTGCGGTATTCATTTAATCAGATTTCATCCGTTTCGCAAGTAGCTTGGTGACCAAGTGACTAATAAACGTGTACAGCATTTGGAATTCGCAAACCCTTGACTCTGAGGTTACGCATGACACACGAGGAACCCTATAAAATAGATTCGAGATTCAGTACTACATGGCCTCAAGGTCGGGCAGTCATTGAATTTGTTCGAAAATGTCCTCAAAGAGTGGGGGCTCATTTTACCAAACTATTGAAAGTATTTTTGCCTCAGACATTATTCAGATTTCGTATCAATGTTTGGAATCAATATTTTAGAATGGAGTTTTCCCCCAATCCTCGTCGCTCGGCCGTATTCTCACGGCAACAAACGAAATTTAAGTCTCTGAAGCGAGTGGTAGATATATGCATAGTAGTTTACACGGGTACTGTAAGTTCAGCTTAAGCATGTTCGTTTTCGTCTGTTTGTCGACTTAGGTAACCGATCATCACTAGCTCAGATGGCATCTTTAGTACCTGTTGTTCGGCGTGTGACAAAAGCTGTTTGATGCAATTAAACGGGAAGTACAAGCCGGTCTACATACACAGCATAGTCAAGATATGACTGTCGCTTCGTGAGACATGTCGGTTTCTAACATTGTGAGAGTACAACGTAGATCAGCATCTCTTCTGTTGCGGCTGCAAATTTCAATAAATCAAAAACGACTATTTCAGCTGGTTTAAGAGTTGAAAATCAGCTTTGTTTGTTCGGTTTGACTAGATGCATTTCCCCTATTCACTTATCCGTAGATATTTAATCACTCGTCGAACTGTAGTATATTTGGTCCCAGTGGACATAATCGGGCTCACCACAAGGACTCTATCAGCAAAGCATGACCGTCTTAAATTTACAGAAGTAGTTCAAGAGTCAGAATTGAATTCCTGATTCAAAGGTACATGGTCTGGACGGGAACACGCAAAAGTGAGCACTGCTGATGAGCTCCATCAAAGACGAAACAGTAACTTTATCAACAGTGAGTTATCTAAGGTGAATGGGCCATTGGCGAACTCTCGAGGAGTGAAACCCACACAATACGATCGAAACAGATTAAGGTGCTCGTAGGTTAGCAAGGAGTGAATCCAATGGTGCTTTGATCACTTCTGCATGATTCGGACAGCCACAAAAGTACAATTCTGAAAAGCAAAAATGCCCACCGGATCGACTTGGTTACACAAACAAAATTATCCCGATTATAGTCCAGAGAAAGAAAAAACGCGTCAGGAGGGATCTTTAATATAAACGTAGGCTATGGACTAGACGAATATTTAATTCTTCTATAATTAGTGAGTAGACAATGAGATGGAAAAAGGACCACGGATCTTAGAATCCACATAATGATTAACAAATAGGCTACGATGCTAGGCACAAGTATGTGGATATGATTATAAAAAGTATTGTTTTTTATGGTAAAAGGTTTCTGGGAATCACTTGATCAGTATCGCGGTGGTTGACGCGCGTAAATATCTCTTTTGCACCATTATGAGCTCTTCTCGAGTAGATAGCATAATGAATCATATTAATTTCTCCGGGTTGAATGAGCTCCTGTATCTGAGGGAACCTCGTAGTTATGAACAGAACAAGTTCATTGACCAATCATGTCACAGGATTTCTTATCTTTTGACCGCAAAATTCCCTCGAAATTTTTTATAGGATACGATAATCATTGTTTTTCCTACATCACGAATCTGCTTTTGCAGTCTGAGCAATCTGGACTCGTAAATGGTTCATCTGTGAGTTCAACTTCGATCATTCTGACACCTGTGACCTTGTCCGATTGCACTGCTGGCCTGGTCCCCGTGGAACCGATGCAAGCACCGGCTCCCATTTATCGAACTCGTTCCCGCGTGGACATGGTCGTGACGCGACGCAAACGATCGGATATCGCGGCCGGATTACTCGGCGCGGATCGGGAACGTCGCCTGATAGCCGGCACAAATCAGTTGTCGATCTCGGTGGACTACGATAAAGTGGGTGAGGACACAGTGGATGAGTCGGAACAAAATGTGATCCGACGACTCACTCAACGGTTGAATAGAATCCAAGATCAAGTGTACAGAGAACGTCCGGGAAACTGAGTGAGGATATTGAAGAGGAGAAAAAGCTACACATCGAACACAATTTGTATAGATGAAGTCGCACCATTATCAAACGAGCATTCTGCATTATACTAGCGTTTTTCCATCTTCCTATATCCCCTCTGTGGTGATACGGCTGGGTACCTGCGACGTTTTACCACACTGAAAATGCAATATCCACTTTACCTGAATGCCTGAATGTCAGAAAACAAGACACATGAGGAAATGTAACAGAATTCGTCAATTTTATTTATGAAGGAATCTTTTGGTGTATCGAGAAATTGAAAAAAACGGGTAGATTTTTACTTCATGATGGGACTCGAACCATAATCGGGATCGTTGTCATCGAGGAACACCTTGAATGCCTACTACGTAGCAGTAAAATACAAGACGCACATACGCAGTAGTTGAAAAACTGAATGAGGTAATTTGAACACATGTCTTTGGTGTGAATCTACACAACTATCTATCGATTTTATGCAGCGTAAATGCCGAATAGGGAAGAACGGCGATCAACTGTACCATAAACTGAACGCAACTGATTACTATTGAAGACGCACATCCGAATACCAGGTGGAAGTAACAACCAAATTGGGCTTGGAATAGATCACAGTTTATGGGGAACTGATCTTGTTTAGTCTGATGTCTATGTTGATCCATCATTTAGAACTTATCAATTCGGAATTCGCATGACGGTAAACTTGTGAGGCTTTCACGTTTCGACAACTGTTATTCCGCAAGAATATGATTCAAGCCATCCGCTCGTTTGTGCGTGCGCTGTATCCACAGTGGCGCGCCACTCCAAGTTTCACACAGCCTCTCTGTTGAGGGAAACCCGTGCATCGCCTTAGCATAACGGTGTTCACCATCCAAACGAAGGAGAAGAAAAGACAGCTGATGAATCGGTGAACCACCGGCGGCTCACCTGGATGTTGGGCTATAAACCCCGATTCAAAACCAATTAAGAAGAGGCGTCCGAGCCACGCATACCGTTATGGTTTAATGGCTTGATTAGACATCGAGGTGTATCAGACAAGCAGATCATTTGACCCTATTACACAGAGTGCATAAACACGGTGAGCTGAATACCGACGCCCGGCGGATTTCGGTTTTCACACAAGCTTTGGCTAGCCGAAGACTGATTGGGAATCAATTACGAAAATTCACTTTCTTGGACCGGAGCACTAATAACCCAAACAGCAAATCATAGGAGGAATTGTGTTCTAAAAATCAATGCACTGAGTTGTATGGCACACAGTCTGGACTTCGCAAATCATTAAAAATATGTGGACCAAGTTAAAAGGTTTCCGGTTCCTATAACCAAGCAGTGTAGATCCACGTGGCTATGAGGTTTATTCCATCTGCTATAATAAAACAGTGCCGACTGTTCTCACATTCAACAGGATAATAACTTTCGTGTAGCCCTAATTCGTATAGACACTTTTCTCGTTAGTCAGACCACACTGTTTCATTCAATATATTGAACTAATTCTACATATTCCGCAGGGAACTGTCTCCATATCGACGGGATAATAAAACACCCACGAATCTCTCTAGCTTAGAAGACTAGTGAGTTAGGTCGTTCTTCCCATCATCAGTTGGCATCGACTTGACGGTTACGAATAGAGGAATAACAGCGTTATTGTTTCCATTATCCACATCACACACTCAGATCGTAAGCGCTGTGTGAGTTCGTGGATAAGAATGCAAAGCGGGAGCAAAAGCCATGAACAATGCTCATGCACATACATGTCTGATTGTCAAAAGCTAGTGACCAATAACGGAAAAGGCTCAAATCTTAGACACAATAAACAATACACCACCAAAGCGAGAGACTCCATGGTGTTCGACGGCCCGAAGGTAATGGGACCAGATTAGTATAGATCCATTCGACAGTAGGAGAAATCAGTTGTACGAGTGTGTATAATCTGATCAGTGAATTGTACTCAATGACACAGGGGACTGGATGAAACAGAAGAACAAGAGGGTGGGGGCAGAGGAAACGAAACGGACATGGTTGAACATTGGAAACTCACTCAGATCGCATAAAGAAAGAAAAGCGAAAAAGTGAGAAGCAGAGGCTTAACGAGAAAGATCTGAAGCAAACGCATAAAACTGGTGCTATCAGTTAGTGCATGTGCTCAGTCGTGGCAGGATAAGGAACATAAAAAGGACGCTGTACAAATGTGACAAGATATGAGGCACAGTTGACATTAACGACAGGAGAGAGAGAGAGGAAGAGATCTATGGGACGAGGAGGACGTAGAGCATGAGCGAAACCGAAGCTGTATATGTAGCACGTTACATTTAGTTAACTGTCCCGAAACGGAAGTTGAGTGAATAGGTATGATAATTGAAGAATGCATAGGACGTGACAGGCATTACCATGACGCGGAGATGATAAATGGATTCATGAAAGCCCGCGACGGCTGCAATAAGAACCAATAGTCTCCATGGGGCCAGTGACACACAACCGAAGAACAAGTTTACTGACTTGACCACTCTCAAGTCAAACCACCATACTTGCTCAGCAATTCGTCACAAATTTTGGTCAACTCCACATTCTCGCGGGTCTGGAACGAATGAGAATAATAAGTGATCAATGTTCGAGAGTAAAAAGAAACTAACAATTAATAAGATCAGCCATGTTCCTTCGAATTAGAGTGAAAACAGTCGAGTGAACGTAAGCAGAGCGCGAACTAGACAGGATCAGCACCAAGGTAAAAAAAAAATAGATCATAGTTCAGGTGCACTGACTCTCTTGCTAAGCCATAGACTGGGGGTAATTGTTTAACGGGTATAAATATACGACTTAAAATGGTCTCCTGAAAGAACAAATAAACATGTGGAATAGGAATTTAGAATGCTGGGGCCTGGAGAAGCAACAAAGAACGTGGTGTGCTCTCCGCGTCTCGTCCCATCATGAACAATTGGGAGTGGCCTTGGGGTATACGATGATGGATTGGAATGCACTTTTTGCTAAATATCAAGCATTATTTCTTCTTTAAATGGTATAATATTTCTCCAGATTGAACCGGGTTTGACTAATAACTTGCATAGAACTTCGCAAGCAGATTTAAGACAAAGACTGTACGATTTCACAAGCATCAGCACATGCTGGATAGTTTATGTTCTTCGCATAAACATACGATAATCCATATAATGGCATCACCGGTGATGATTATGCATGGGATAAGTTGAACGTACATATATGTATTACTGGCGTTTTGCAGCGCATCAGTGATCATGGTAATAATGACAATGAAGTCATGAATATCATTCGAAACTTTTAAGCACAGAAGAAGCTCGATTCTCCCCCCCCACGCCCCCCAAATGAAACACGTTATTTCCACTGCCCGAGGATTTTGTAGTAGTGTAAATTGGTGCTAGCAAAGACAAGCAAATGAGCTGAGAGAACTTCAAACGCTATTGCGTCTAGAATGGAAGATAGACAAAAAGTCACAGAACGCTAAAGCATGTTCACTGGCTATTGTTTTCCACACATACACTCCTCACCCTCAAATTACTATCAATTCCATCAACTCACTGTCTAACATTACTAGGAATCTCTTCGCGAATAATGAATGAGGCATAGCAACGACAGATCATCAAATGCCTTGCGGTTCTCCGCCTAATCTCCGTTTTATCGACCCGGTTGTTCGACAGAACATCACTACTACTACCACCGCCACCTAACCTATTGGGGCCTTATGTATATATATAATAAAATAGCATAAAAAACTGAAAGAAATATGGTAATCAGGTTCTTCGACGAGAACACCACAATATCGGAAACGAAAAATTCAACGAATAAGATCAGATAGCGATAAGGCGATTGTGATAGATTCCAACTTTCCAAACAAATTTGAAAAGACAATTAGGTTGATGATTTCTGAAAAACAAATCGAGACTGGACAAGTTACTCTAAATCTATTACTTTCAAATAGGCGCATTGTACACCCGTGAGTTCCAACAACTAAGACTAGTGAATCTGTATGAATGGACATGATTGTATTGTATTGTGACAATTATTTGTAAACAGGTATACGTACACAGTTGAAAAAACTCGTAACACCATTCACAGGAGAATAGACATGAAACCAAAACGTAGGGGGAGGAAAGAGTTTGTTCAAAATGAAAGGTTCATGGGCAACTCAGTTCCCACTTGATCTTTGTCAGTAAGAATACGGGTCAAATATGGAACGGGGGAACTTGTATGACTTAATTCTCGCAGACAACCAGAAAAATCGATCCGCCCCAGTGAATAAAATCAGACCTCTTCAAAATCAATGAGACAGAAGAGTACTACTGCAGAGTGCATCAACCAAATCACACAAATGCGAACAGGTGAGGTAAACAAAAGGGGCGGGGAGGAGTTCATGTGAAATTTAGACAGGATTGCTGAAGCGGACGTGCTTAGTCAGCGGGTGAACGTCAGGCTTATTACGACAAAGTAAGCCTTCAAGGAGTCGTGTAAAGTAAGACAACCCACGTGAATGATCACATGGTACAAATATCACGATTTCAATCGGTAATAAAGGATGGTTGTTATGGTGATTTGTCACAGATGAAATTAAGGTCACTGCACAGAATATACTGATATGAGACAGAAGCAAACGCGCGCACACACACACACACACAAACGCAACAGATTCAGGTGGAGCACAGACCATTATACACAACCTGGGGAATCTGATCGATACAGAACACAACTAATCACTAGAGGTCTGCAATTAACGTGTTTACGATGTGGAAAATAAACAAACAAACAGCTTTGATGCTTGACGAAATTCAATCAAGTATATGCAACGGTAAATTGTGCGTTTGCTCCTCGCTTTATATTGCGGTCCACCTAGCGCAGTCTCACAGGTTTTTAGCTCGAATGTATTTTAATTGGTATCGCGCATTTTTCGCTATATCGCAGCAGAGGGGTTGGTAAGGGGCAAGGGAAGATAGAATGTTTTAAAATACATCATAATTAAGAGGTCACCGCTCCGTCGATTTTCATCCGCTGAGGCTTTCCTCGCCTAACATGCGCGATGGATAAGGAACGACTCCATAGGAAAAGTACTGTCTCTTCATCAGTAATCAATATCGCGCCACAGGAAACTTGTTTAGGATCATCGAAAGTGTATGGTTGTTCAAACAGAAACAGGGGGAAATTGGGAACCCAACACAAAAGTCAGTCGACTCATTTTTTGATGCCTATGGAAACCAAACAAAATTTTGATAGAATAAGCCGTTACTAGCTCACACAGTGAAAAGCTTTCGCAATGGTCGGACGCTTAAAGACATATGGGATAGGGACGTTTGTCACCAGTTCGATCATTTTTACAGGACGACTGGGGAGAAATCAGACTAACCGAATCCAGACAGTATTTTCAGATTCAAGACCGATAACGAATGGAAAGGATAATGGACGAGATATACAGCGCTAATTGTGCCGGGGATTATGCCAAAGTTGAGTAACCGATTGTATCAACAGACTCTGTGTTGAAACAAACTGGGTGTATTCTATTTGTATACAGCGTAAATAATCATTCGGAGTGGGAAGGCTTAAATAGTTCGGAGGAAACGCTACAAGAATAAATCTTCCGCATGTAGTTTGTATAATCAAAATAGTATGCTCTGTTAACGTGAGATGAAACCTGTCGTGCACGCACCTTTTGTGCTAGCTGAGTTTCCAAACTCTTTGTTTGCAGTTCAGCAATTCGAAGCGCGGCTTGCAGTCGAGTGGCGTTTGACTCGAATTCTTGCCTTTGAGCCTCGGCATCCTGGGCGGCCCTAGAGCGAGTAGAAACGCAAAATAGAACAGCGGAGACACACTGAAGAAGTTCATTATACAGTGTTCAGTTTCGAAAAACACAACACATCTTGCCTCGTGAACCTAGAGCGAGAGTATAACGCGTAGTGCATAAAAATGAAAGAAGCCATTAATCATGTGAATTATATTTCTCTTTAATCAGTGTGTAAGCAAAAGGTGGTGATCTTGTACGGTCCCTCCCCCTCAACTAGAAAGAACTTAGGATCAACTGAACTTAAAAAAATTGACTGCTGTGTTGATTTTGCTACTTCTTAATTTGATGTATTGTTTCTTCGGTTGCGTGGATTCTAGTGAATGTTTGTCCCCGGAGGATAAAGCGACTACGTGACTTGACTTGAATAGTGAGGGAGCGAAGGGAGCTACCATACGGAATAGATAAATCAATTAGAATTCTGAATCCGTGGTGGAGTGGTGAGAGCAGCCCGTAACTCCATGGATGGAGTTCGGTATGACCAACCGCGGGGGACCCTATAACGATAGGTGACGTAGTGCCCTAGCCGCTTATAAGATGTTTATTTTCTCGACCGGCGGTCGACTGATATACGGACAAGTGAAACGCAAAGCAAATTTTGAGCACCATAATACGCGCTCTCAGTTGGCTTTGACCAAGTTAATGCAAGAAATGGATCATATAATTCGTCCCATGGACGTATTTCCTAACGGGTTCGGCATCTTCGTGGAATCGAAAGTGCGGGAATCAAGAATCGATTGAAAGTTGTGCTTGTCATGCGACAGCGATCCAGAGTTGGTCTATTTTTCGTCGTTGTTCTTGTGTAAACAGATATGCCTGACTACATGTACATGCCTATATTCAAACCCAATTTATAACTACTCATGACGAAAATTCGTGGTTGTTTATCAGCATCATTAGATAATTAATACCTATTCTTTTTCTTGAATCCCGAACGCATCACATTTGTCATGATATCCGACTGTTCAGCTGCTGTTTTGGACCACCAAAGAAAAATGCAAATCAAATGTGGACAACGTATATGTGCATATTAGGATGATTAAATGCGGAAAGTGCTTTGATCCCCAATAACAGATTACTTAAACTATCCATTAATAGCTTATTGTCACTTTCTGGATGATCAACGCAATCACACCGTCTTAGAAGGCCGGATCAAAGATCAGTGCCAATTTTGAACATGAAATGAAAAATTATATATGAACCCGTGGGTCGCTGCGTGAGGTGGCACGACTTCCTCGTGAAAACAATACCAGATGAAAACGGGACATAAAGAATTAGTGAATTGAGGGGATCAGAAAACGTACTTGAGCAATTTGTCTTCGGCCAGCTTCTTCAGGGCTAAATATTTGTTCTCCTGTCGTTGAAGCAAATTTTTGTATTCCTCTATACTGTGCTTTAGTGCTTCCTCATTCTAGGGGAACAGGAATGACAAAAAATGAGAGTAAAACGATAACCTACAGTGACACAACACAAGCGACAAAATCGATCAAATAACAGGGGAGGAATGAATGATTAATGTAGTGGATCCGCCAGAAAAACAACCCAGCGGGGGGCAGCATGATCACTCACCATAGATCTATTCGATGAGATCGATAAAGCGCATATATAAAAACACTTCATGGTGAAAATAGTCCGAATGGAATCACAATAAGTTGAGACCGAAATTAATCATAGATACCGAAACAAACAACATTCGGCTTACTCACAAGGCATATCAGCATAACCAACGGGTAGAAACAATGAGTAATCAGGCTGAGTGCCGCTCGTGCATTTTCTCATTCTTCGAGTAACTGTTGTCTATCAGAATCCTCTATTTTCACTCTGACAATATTTTCAACATTCCAAGCTTTCTTCTACTCCTTCATTCACATGGGTAGTCGAAACACAGTAATTAAAACCGTCGCATAAACGTGTAAGTAAAATGGCTTTATAAAATAAAAACTGTACTCGCAAATCAAGCAGTACACGACTATGGTTCGGTGCATATTTAGGAGGGAAGATATATGAGGTTTGGAAAAAATCACGATGTAGAATGAGTTCCTCATAAGGCGAAAAATGGTGTTCGTACTGTGTTGTGAATCACTGAGGACCGGAACAAGTGTAAACAACACCAAAAGTTGTGCCTAGTTCACTAGAAGAACTGAGGATTGTGTGCACAGATAAAGTCTGAAGCACGATCAACCGAAATTAGTTAAATTTGTTAAGCTGTCGAAAAACAGATAAACGGAAGTTCACAGATGAAACATTTGAATAACAATGTAAATGATGCACCAATCAAACCAAATACTACTCACTTGTTTGAAGCTTTCGATCACTTGTTTGGATTTTTCAAACCGTCGATGTAAATCTCCGAAAGCTTTTTCAATGGTGGCTACCTCTTCCACTGCCTGGTCACGTTCGGAAATCAGATCTGCGACGGATACGTTAACTTGCGGTTGAGTTTGAGATTTCTCTTCTATCA